CTCTTCAGTTTTAGTGTGAGAACGTGGGCCGAAATGATCACACAACTTGTTTATGCACCACGACAAATATGCCTTGGCATCATGCACCTCTGCATTCTTGTGTCATCAGCGTTTTATTGTTTCGCAACGTAATCAACGATCTCATCCACGCCCAACGTTATTTAATTTAAAAAAAAAAAAGATACGTTCGAGATATGATGAACGACAAGCGAGCAATTATAGACACGCACGCACACACACAATCAACCTTATCACAAAACCAATTTCCGAAATTTTCTATTAAAAATCCATGCGCGCCTTCCATCAACAATGATGTACTAGCCTCCGAAATATTTCAGGCGGTGTGACATTAAATTTCATTACCGTCTTCGCAGAGATCTCGTCAATCCACCGAATTCTTATCTCTTCTTTGTCAACTTAAACTCGTCAACCTCGAAAAGTGCATAATCAATCAATCTTCAAACTACGCGAGTACACGAGATTATCGGACTCGAAACGTTTCTCTGCAAACCGAATTCCCCAATTCCGATTGAAAGTACGCTCAGCAATCTTTAGCAATTCCAACAATCTCACAGAATGCGAATGCGGCTGCGGATCAACTTCACGTTGTGGATGATGATGAACGAGATAACATGCAAGAATCATGAACTGAGCTTCCAACTCGGAGTTTGAAATGAAAACAATTGTGCGCATCAACCATCCAATCAACTTTCGGAACTGTGTAAAAATGAATTTCGGTTTATGGATGTAAAATTGTTAATCCCTTCTGTGCGCACACAACTGTCGAGTAAACAATATATTACATAATATCACGTGCGTGTGACTACTTACTGATTGATGCTTACCATCCCTACCATCAACTGCTTTGTCACTGTCACTGATGATCACTTGCGTTACACGACGGAAAATGTCCACCGAATTGCACATTTATCATGAATGCTTACTCCGGTGTTGCATCCTCGATCGTGATTGTGCCAATCATAAAGGATAATTGGACTCCATGGACTGTGGCCATTGTGCACGGTGGTCGCAACTTGGCGTAGCGACCGTGTAAATCGGTAGGCATCTCCGCCACATTACACACCTTACGATGATCTCGAAACTTTTTTTTTTCGGTTAATCTCCTCTTTCCCTCAAGGAGAAACGTCTAGCGGGTACCAATGACATCATTCTTTATGACTCGCGGTGAAAATGAAAATCTCGGTGGTACGACAATTTCTTGATCCGAGTACACGATTCTGGTCCCCGAAACCTGTGGCAATGCATGCCGTAACGGTACGTCTCTAGTCCCTGACCTTGGTATGTGAGCAGGCTGCGAATTCAAAGTTTTGGAAATCTTATTTAATTATATGCATTTTCCTTATTTGGCGAGCCAATCCTCAGAAACAGGCGAGTGACGTAAAAATTAAGTGGTATATATTTCGAGATTACGTAAAGTTTAATGTCAAAGGTGAAATGAAATGGTGGTCACCGAATTTTTCATGTATACACGTTCCCTGTTTGCCATCAAACCGGTTATTTTTTTTACGTCATCTGTTATTATTATTTATTAATTTTTAATGAACGGAAAACATTGGTTTGTGACACATTTAAATGCGATCGCGGAACTAAATCATGTGACACTCGAGGGACCGAGTCTTGATGGATTGTGCGTATAATAAATCGTCCAAATATGTTAATAATGTACCTTGCTTGCATTAAATTCGGTTGATTGTTATGTTATAAACAAAATCAAATGGGCGATTGCAACATAAGAGGTGTGTGCTCCTTTTTAATAGAATTATTATATGAACCCAATTCATTAACAAGGAGTAAATGATAATCGCCTCCGCCCGTGAAGCAACATCCCACCGAGAGAGGATGATTGTTCATGCACAAATCATCACACATATCACTCACATCGCGGAGAGAGGTGTTTCTCACCGATCGACAAAATGGTGACACGGTGACTGCGTAGATACCACTGAAGGCACAATGAGAGATGACGGGACATCTCGTAAATTAATCACATGTATACACCCATTTCTTCTTTGCACCAGGTGGATTATCCTTTCGCTATTCATCTCTACCTATCCCGTTCGTTCCGCTCTAATACGAGAATTTCCTTTGATCGGGTCATCAACCGGTAACGCAGCGGGCAAGAAATCAAATCATTCGTTCTGCATAAGGAAAAACGCGAAAAATTGGTGAAAAATCATCCCACGCAAAAATCGCGAAAAGCCACATGTCCACATTCAAGATGGGAATTCAGAAAGGAGATTCGTGAGATTGATTTAGTTGACAAAGAAAATCAGGGGGCATGTATGATTTACTTTATTTGTGTATATTACGGCTTGCATTTTTTTTTTTTTTTAATCTCGTGAAAGTGCATCCTCAATTCCTACGGGTTATGGTATGAATAAAGAAGATTGTACGAAAAGTGAGGAATTTACTATGCACCATAGCAAGCATTCTTTACGATATGTTCAAAGCCATTACACACAAACGCCATAATGATGGGTCCAAAAAAATAAATATGTTGCGCACGTACGATAAAATCAATAAAGAAATGTGCCATGAACACGCTAGCGACAGGAAAGATCGAGACGCGTGTGATGCAAGCAACCCGAGGTCATTCTTCTTCATTTATTTATTTGCGCGCTCCTACAAACGCTTGATATTTTACACCATGTGAAATTAATTATTATGGTAGCTCGATTCTAGAATAAATAGAAAATCACTTTAATCAACTTTAATCGATAATCCATCATCTGATTCAAATTTTCGAGTTATGATTTGACGGTAAATTTTAAAAACGGCATGATCCAATTTCCTAGTTTGGTTCACTCCGTATATGCGCAAATTTGTGCACGTGAAACTGTCAAATTTTTTTCACCGATGGGAGACAAGCACAAGAAAGAAGATATGCTCTCCTTGAATGCTTACTTAATTATCAGATGGTGTTGACCTTTTATCAGGTGAGGCTACCATACTGTTTTTTAAAAAATCTTATCAGTACACGTTTAACATCTAAACAGACAAAACAAATATACGTATCGTTCTGTCATACACACAGTGGGCAAGAAAAAAAATACTGTAGGTGATATTCAAAAAATTGTTTTAAATAAATGAATATGTAATTATACATTCTAGTTTGATCGTTGAATAAACATTGAATTCTCAAGTATTCGATTACTTTATTAAAAAACCAAAAAAAAAATCAAATTTCAACTTTTCAACAATGATATGGTATACATACAGTATATAGTTTGTTAAAAAATGACAAAAAAATAAAGATAGTAAGGGTGAATAAAAAAACAAATAAATTTATATGGTCATTCTTGTATCAATTGAACGTATCAAAATTTTGATTGAACCGATGGATAGTGTTTTTTTTTTAAAAAAAAAACAGGTTTTTAAAAATAGATTTACACTTGTTTTTGTTATTTGTTTATAAATTTAATATTTGTTTTTTAAAAAAATAAATTCTTTATAAATTTCATCTGAATATAATTAATTAAATTTAATATCGAGATATTAAATATCCAAAAATACACAAAAGTTTAGAATCACCTAATAAAATTCAAATTATTGTAATTTTTTTTTCAACTAGTAAGGTCTTGCCTAACATACTTTATTTGTATTTCCTTTACAAGAATTACTATTTATAAATTATTCTAGATGCATGTTATGTTATATTAAATCCATCTCTCTTGACAGGTCTATTACTTGTGATAGTAAAAACTTATATAATATTAAAAATATATCAAGTTTTCTTGTCTTGAAAAAGGAAAATAAGATTTTAACTAATTACTTTTTTTTGTTACCAATTATTATTATTATTTTTTATTACTGTTATTCTGATAAATAATTTTTTATAACTTGATAAATATTAAAAAAGTAAGTTTTTAAATTAAAAGATTTTTTATTAATAAATTGACTATGTTCTCTTTATTATAATTTGTTGTTTTTTTATATTATATAATTTGAAAATAGATTATAATAACTTTTTATAATTATATTGATTTTCAAATACAATAATTATTAAGCTATTCTTGATTTTATATTGTTTTTCCTATAATCTTATTATTAATTAGACATATAATATAATATTTAAAATGACTTATTTATGATTCTTAAGATTTTTTTCATTAATAATAAATTTGATAATATGTTGTTATTTATAATTTATTAAATAATTATATTAAAATTTGAATCTGTAAGTTAATAATATAATAGTTAATACTTTCAAGTTCAAATAACAAAATATTGATTCAATTTCAAGCAAAAACAGTTGAATCAAATTAAAAATAATATCTATTATTATAACTAGTCAAGTATTATTTCTTATAAAAAATTAATTTATATGTTGATCTAGCAAGTATTAAAATTATAATTTTATAAAAATACAATAATATATTAATTGTTAAAAAAGTAGGTATAAAAGATATTAAAAATATTTGATTTAGAACAAGAATAGTATATTAAAAATTCTATTATTATTATTTTAAAATTATTAATTGTTTTTTTTACATTTTCAAAATTATATTAATAAAATATTAAATTATAAAACCAATTATTTATTGAATCATTAATTAAAATCTAATTATAAAAAAATTATTATTTTTTTTGTACCATACTGTATATAAATATATTATATATTTTTTTAATTAAAATTACAAAATTATTTAAATATTATTTCAAAAATATAAAATAAATTATATACAGAATATTGCAAAAAAAATATCAATTATATTTTTATTATAACTTCATAAAAATTATTAAAAAAAATAATAAATTTAAATATAATTAAATTAATATCTATAAATTAATTTTATTTAGAATTACTTTATTAATTAATTTAATATTTTGATTTTTAATAAAAATTTTATATTGTACTTTTTAGTTTCTATTTAAAATAATAATAATATATATTTATTTTTATATAGGTTTTGCTTTTTAAATAAAAGATTTTAAAAAATAAAATAAAAGAACAGAATAATAAATTAAATAATTTTTTTAAAAAAAAAATATTAACCTTAGTATAATAAATTTTTTTTAATGTTAAGTGAGGCATTTCTCACGATCTTTATTAATAGAGTAAAATAATAATTGTTACATGATTAA